CGGCCGCGGGCCCCTCCCCGCCCGGCCGAGGGCTGCGCTGGCAGATAACGGGGGACCGGGGGGTCCCTGCCAGCTGTGCGGGGCCGGCGCTGACTGGGAGCGGCTGATAAGAGCCCCGTGCGGCAGCCAGCCGGCAGCGCCGCTCCGCCAGCGCGCTGCGGGGCCGCGCCTGGCAAAGAAAGTTAAACACAACTGGTCCGGGGGCGGCGGGGAGGGCTGCGCTGGAAGATAATGGTAATTGATTGAATCAAAGTCGCAGAGCAGCCTTGTTTTTTTTTCCCTCGCAATTAATTTTTTTTTTTCTAATTTTCAGACCGGAGTATCCGAAGAGCTCAGGTTGCACCGAGCACATGCTGCACTAAAAGATAATAAGCACATGCCCTCTTCAGCTTTTTGGGGGAAATTCAGGCCAAGAAAAGGCGCAGCTAAATAAAGCGCACCCCCTTAAAGTTACGAGCACACGGCTCCAAGCTCAGCAGAGCGTGCTCTTAAGGACAGGGACAATCAATGGCTTTTTCAGGTCACCAGGCTGTGTGCTTGCTGGCTACCAGCGATCAGCAGCCAATTTTGCCCACAAAGCCAACGGATAGGCACCAGAGAAAGGGATTGTCAGGGGACTGAGTTGTGCAGTGTCCACACGTTGGGCATTTCTGCAGTCCTTCTTTCTTTCCTGCTCCCAACCACATCCCCATACCCTTCAGCTCAAGATAGATGTAGAGGAGGACAGAGATTGATGCCACTCGTGTTTTTGTATCAGTTGCCTTGCAGGTTTAGTTTAGCCAGTTTGGATCTTTTTCACTGGCAACTTGCCGGCCAGAAATTTTTCTTCTCCTTTAAGGGGATTCCCCCCAGTAAAGCGTTCAGGAGTAGTAGTATAGTTTGTGTACTTTGAGTAAATCAAACCTTTTAGTCTTTGGCAGTTGCATCTACAAGCAGTAAAATCTTATGTCAGCACAGTGTATAGAGTGCAGGATACCTAATAGCTAGTAAACCATTTAAAAAAGTCTTTGGCTTGATCAGATGTAGTGCTTAATGTATAGTGCTGTATCTTGCCCAGCACATAATTAGTATTGAGGATGGAAAAGCCTCCCCTGTGGACCATGACACCACAGACCTAAACTGGCATTTTTTCACACATTAGAGTTTTCTTTCTTTAGTGGAAGGCATTTCTTTGCTTGTTTTAAAAATCACTCTCTAAGACTTAACAGACTGTATTAGCGTATTGTGTATCTTAAATGAACCTTGCAAGCTCTAGCAGTGTATTCTTCTTCCCATATAGGCACTGTGTAGGGTGGGCAGGCAAGCAGTATTGTAGTGCCAGAGAGATCAAACGTTGGCTAGGAAAAAAAAACAACCCCAGCCCTAACCTGGGAAATAAAAATTAACCATCCCACTTTTGCAGTGATTTTGTTGGATCCCATCCTGGAACAAGTGTATGTATGGATGTGCTAGCAAAATGAATGGGCCTTGTTGAGGTAAGACACTGTGGTTTTTGTAATCATAAAGAAGTTGTGATTTTCACTAGAGCTCTGTCATGTTTTCCTCAGAATAGCAACAGAAGATTTCTTTATGTGTGGGCTGGATTTATGGTATTTCTTCCCAACTAGTGAAAGGGTGGAACATTTGCTGTCTCTTTGGGTAGGAGCAGGGTATCCTGATATCCTATCAAACAGACTAATAGGTCTCCTCTGCTGAAAGAGCTGGTAATCTGCCTTGTCATGACCATTGGTTATGAAAGGGACAAGTCAGCTGTGAAGAAAGATGACTTTCTTGAAGGAACCATGTAAAAACTTTGGCCTAATGTCAACACAACCATTGCTGATCAACTTTGGCAGGGACATGGCTCAAATTAGAGATTCCTTGTGTGGAAAAAGGCTTTTTTTCCTTTTTTCTTATAGGCTTGAGAGCCTACTGGGTTACTGTTGCTGACCTCCTCTCTTTGATGTTTCAGGTTCCAGTATAATTAAACCCGCAACTGTAATGTGGTCTTGTCTCTTTAGCCACAGTGGTATGACTGGCAGGTGACACTGTCCTTCTCCACCTTAAACACAGCTGGTGAACTGCTCCTAGGCAGTCAGTGTTTTTAGGCTAGAGGAGTGCTTTGTAGCACCCCTTTTACCCTCCTCCTAGCCTGGCCAGTGTGCTCAGCCTGTTGGTCTCAGAAGTGCTGACAGCAATGTGGAAAACAAGTGCCAAAGGAAAAGTACTGTGAGGTCATTTGGATAGATAAAAGTGAATAGAATTAATGGAGATAAGGTGCACCCACTCAGCATCTGCCCACCTCTGTGCTCCTCTATGCTAAGGCACACTGCTGCCAGCAGAGCTGCTGCCAGGCTGTGCTGGCATTGAGCACTCTCTGAGCTGAGCCACCAGCCCTGCCTGGGAGGGGCATGGGGAAAAAAACAAAACCAGCTTCTGCTGGAAAGATTAAAAAAATTACCCCTGTGCTAAGATGCAATGCTGGGTTTTGGGGTGTGAGGCAGTCACAGGCAGCTGGAGGAGCTGGCCTCTCATGAGCCACCTCCTGAAGTTAAAAGGGGGCAGGTTTTAACTGAAAACCGAAACAAAGAGCACGGCTGGCTGTGCTGTCCCAGGCCGAGGCGCACTGGTGGCTGTAGGTTTTCCTGTTCGTGTCACCCCCAGTGCAGGTGCCGGCTGCGTGAGGCGCAGGCACAGCAGAGCTGCCGCTGCAGGACGGACACGCTGCACTCCCCATGCTGAGGTGGGACCTGTTCTCCTGCCCCACTCGTGTCTGTGGGGTGCAGAGGGGCCAGGGGCTGCAGCGGGCAGGCACGGTGGGTGAAGGGGAGGCGAGGTGAGGCAGGGTTCGGTGGTGGCAGTGGGGGGAAGCAGGTGGCTGGCACTGTGTTGGGGACACAGCGGGGCCAGCACCTCTGGGAGCAAAGGAGCTGTGGGACAACCCAAAAATACCAGGGTATTATTTTTTAAGATACCTTAAAGATGCCTTAAAGATACCTCCTCAATAGTCTGGGCAACAGACTTCTATGCTTGTTTTGCCACATCCTGTCTTTTAAATGTACAGTGGACGCACTAGAAGAAAAGCTGAGTGAATTCTCAAAGCAGTGAAGGTGGGAGAGTAGTAATGGTAGCAGCTGCTTGGGAGGTGGCAACAAGAGAGGAAATATTAGCATGGAGGGGAGCAGAAAAGGGAAGAATGGAGAGGGAAGCATCACCAAAATTATTTCTTTCACTTTATTAAGAACTTGGGAAATTTGTGAGTGAAGCAACAGAAAGCTTTTCCTGGAGCATTTGCTTTTTCTTACATTTGTACAGGCCTACATGGCCTTGCAGCCCAGGTCTTTTTCCATTCCAGGGTGTTACACCTATTACCAAAATGTAGCTAAGGTATTAGCCATAAGGTATGGCTTTCAGGTGACTGCTCTAACAATGGGGTTGTTCTTGCCATATAATACACAGAACTTCGCTCAAGTCTCACAGCCAGAACACTACACCTGCCCTGGAGAATAAGGAGGAAATTCACCAGGTTAAGTTCATTCTGTGGAAGCATGCAGGAATATATCCAAGTTATACTCAAAGAGAAATTATCAGATTGGCAGCAGATTTTGTCAGGTTTATGGTTGCGTTAGGAATCTCACACGAATCTTTGAATAGCTTTAGAATTGAAAAACTTAAAGGTTTTGAGAAAATTTGTTGCACAAAAATGATCAGTACGAGTATGTATATCATACAGGACAAGTAGGCAAGTAAGTAAGGCATCAGTTACTTTATGTTGAGACAGCCATGTGAACATAAGCACTAGAGCAGCGTGAATAGGCATTAAAGGTGCATAAGAGTTCTGCTTTGTCTTTTAGTTGTATGCAAGTGTGCAGGAGACCTGTGAAATTGTTCTTTCAGCTCTGGTAATGCCAGGTTTAAGGAGTGGTATCTGAGCCATAGTGCCTTTCTGAAGCATATGGTCTTTGACTTTTTCCCCTAATCTTTGAATGTGCATTAAATTCTCCTAGGTTTTTTTTTGTTTTGTTTTTTTTTTGTTTTTTTTGACAGATTTTGGGCTTTTTTCCAGATCTTCATTATGTGGGTAGCAGTCTCTCCATTGCCATGTATTGATGGTCTCTTTTATATTGCTTTTATAGCCCCGCCCCATTGTCCCTGGTCTTGGGTTCACAGAGCTGGTAGACAAAGCAGTTGGCAAGGAAAGTGAATGACTTCAGGAAGGGATGGACTTGTGTGCTCTGACCATGGAGATGACAGAGATGTAGAAAGGATAGAAAGAGGGTAAGCAAGGTCTTGAAACTGGGGAAGCTGATGGATTGTGTCCCAGAGGAAGGTTAGAGTAACAGAACTGGAAATGGGGGCAGAGGATATGAGTCAGGGTGGGAACTGCCAAGAGGAAGATGTCAAAATGTCAAAAAAGCACAGGAAAAGAAGTATGGAAATAGACTGGTAAAAGGTAGAGTAGATCTGGAAGCAGTAACAACAAATGAAACACACAGGCTAAGATCGTTGACTCAGAAGAAGAGGTGGGAAGTGTAAGATGAAGTGAACAACTTCAGCAGAGGATAATGTCTTCCACTCTTAAAAAAGTCCAAAATTTAGTAAAAGGAAGAAATGCATCTACTCGATTTTATTTTCCTATGCTTTTTGCCAGGCAGATCTGCGTTCTTTTCCAACATTGATGGCTGTCTCATGATTTTCCTGAGACATTGTCATAGAAATAGACATGGGAAGCAAATGTCCTTCTTCTAGGAATTATGGTCAGGTAGTGTCTTTGCCCTGTGAGATGGGCTTCCAGTACCTAGCCTATTAGAGAATTTTTTTTTCATAAAATATCCTCAAAAAAAAAAAAAATTATTGAAAAGGAGAGGTGACTTTCTTCTAGTAGCAAAAAAACCAAAGACTTTGAAAAACAGTTTATATAGAGGTCCTTTCCAAACTAAATTACTCTGTGATCGAACCTTCAGAGGAAAAAGAAAATGTGAAGTTTGAGTTTTGTTTCTGGTGCAGGTTGAAAAGGCTCAATGAGTTGCTCTGTTCTCGTGAAGTTCGATGACAACCAGGTGATTGGCTTCCACAGGCAAAATAAGAATTCCACTATCCTAGCAGCAAGTATTGCTTGAATTCCTGGGTAAATAACTCAATTAGCTTTACAAGATGCCCTTCTCTTGGGTTAGAGTCAGGATGTTCCTGCCTTTGCAGGAATACCCATGGGTTTCCAGAAAGTGAGACAGGAAAAGGCACACATGCTCCGAGTGACGGCAGCTTGAGCTCATTACTCTGATTTTCAGATATGCTGGCATTGTCTCAACAGCCTGCATTCACATTTATGGTATTTCCAGACTACTTATCTGGGCGAAAATGTGTGCTCAGCCTGCTCCAGTTATGTCTGAGCTTGAGCTCAGGGCTCAGACAATGCACACCATGACTTGGGCAGCCCCAGCGCTGGACTCTCAAAGGTGCAAAGGCAAGACACAAAGAGGAGGTAGCTCTCCATGCAGGTCTTTAACTTCTGGTGGTCCTGTTGGTGATCCCACTGTCTCCTGAGGTTCTCTGAACAAATGCATCAAAAATAGCTGAACTGTTAGTAAATTATTCCCTCCCACGAATGAGCATGTAACTATTTTTCTAATGAGATGCAGAAAATGAGTCTTATTCTGCACCATCCTTTTTAGTTTGCATTCCAATTAATTCTTTCATGTTAATTCATCTTGGAGTGTTTTGGAAGATTTCTCAGCATCTACCAGTGCATTTTGTGGGACAGTCTATAGAAAGGACAGAACGTTTGCTGAAGAGCCTTTACTGTATTTTCCCATTAGAATTCTCTACTCAGTGCTGAGGTTTCAAGATGCTTTGAGTGAGCTGGTTGAGTCTCCTTTTGAACCCATCATGGATTTTTCTTTGTATTTTATTTCCTTTAAATATTATTCCCTTCCTTATGGCAACCACCTTTTGCCAAATAAGTATGGCACTCCAGTTCTTTCCAGCTTTTGCCCCATTTACCACCTTCCAAAAAGATTGCAGTGGCTATATGACCACATCTCAGATTTTCCCCAGAGGGAGCTCTGATTTCTTTTCAATCAGTTCATTTAATTGACCATGTTTATTTCCCTAGCCCTTGTGGCTCCCTGAGTGCAGCTATTCGTCAGAAGCTGGATCTTAAGCATCCTTTTCATGTTTTACCTGGAGAATTTCTTAAACCATCTCATCTGTTCTTGGCATTTGGGGCTAAGCTCAAAAGGGAAGCTCTCTCAATCAAAAGACTATCTAAATGGATAATGTGATACTTTGAGACCTGTAACAAGGAGGCAAATGTCCCAGTCCCAGCGCTCCCATGCTGATCCCACCAGAGCCACCGTAGCTTTGAAGGCTTGTTTGGGCAAGGTTCCCAACACGGATGTTTGCAAGACAGCTA